TCTAGTTACATCCTCAAAAAATTCTAGCTGATTTGTCAAGCCTTTTGTAAATGTCTGCTCTGTCCTATCTTGTCACTATATTTCAAGTGCTCTGCTATTACTTCTTTCATATGTAGTTTAACATTTTTCTCACTACCGATGTCTATAATTCACTGTTTTCTCTCTGTCTACCTTCTTACATGGTAGGGTTATGTCAACTATGCTCCAATACATACAAACTGCTCCAGAGTCTGTAGGATTTTGGAAGATGACCACTATGCATCTGCTGTATCTAGGGCCAGTTCCTGAATCACTCTGGGGTGAAGGTTACCAGGCCCTGGGGATTTATCTGCCTTTGATCCTGTTAATTTCTCCAATACCATTTCTCTACTAATAAAAAATTCTTTCTATTTCCCCTTCCCATTCCCTGTATTTTGGGCATGTTATTTGTATCTTCCTTTGTGAAGACAGAACTAAAGTATGTTTTGATTGGTCTGCCATCACTTTGTTCCCCATTATAAATTCCCCTGTTTCTGATTTTAGGGGACCTATATTTGTACTGATTTTTCTCTTCACGTGCCTGTGGCAGCTTTTACTATCGGTTTGTGTGTTTCTGCAAGCTTACACTCAATCTCTATTTTTTCCCTCTTAATCAGTCTCTTTGTCTTCCTTTCCAGGAATCTAAACTGTTGCCAATCCTCCAGTCTATTGTTTATTTCCTTGGAGTTAACACTGTCCCTAATTTCCCTTGTTGGCCATGGTCTGTCCATGTTTCTTGTTTTATGCCGGACTGGAATGAATGAATGGCTTTTGCGGTTCGTCCACGCACTGTTTAAATGTTTACTATTGCCTATCTACCATCATCTCTTTAACTAACGATCTCCAATTTATCATAGCCAGCTTGTGCCTCATAACATCATAATTTCCTTCACTTAAATTCAGGACCCTCGTCTCACAAGCAACTACGTCACTCTCCACCACATTCCCCACCACACTGAGGACTTTTACAGTTCTGGACCTTGCTTTTTATTACTTATTCTGGAATCTTTCATGAATGCCTCCATTTTGAACCATCCCTTGCTTTGCTTTTCTTCAGCAATGCTCATCTTTCCCAGGTTAGCACTGCTGTTGGGCCCTCTGATTAACCCTTCCATGTCTGTATGCCACTCACCATCTCTAAATTGGACACAAAGATGGATGTGGCTTACTAATTGGCCTCCTTTCTTCAGCTTGTACAGACAAGCCAACCATTGACATTGGCTGGAAAAGGACCTGGGACTGATCCCCACTTTGAAAAACTTTATAAGATTTGGAAGGGAGGCAATGGAGGCAATGTTAATGTTACTGGATCTGTAATCCAGAGGCCCAGGCTAAAGCTTTGTGAACGCAAGTTAGCATTCCATCATGGCAGCTGTGGAATTTAACTTCAATTAGTAAGTCTAGAATGTGGCTCAGTAATAGTGAATATGAAAACAATCATTGATGTCATAAAAGCACATGTAGTTCACCAATGTCCTTTAGAGAAGGAAATCTGCCATTCCTACCTGATCTGAGCAACATTGGACTGCAAATCCACAGCAATGTGATTGACTCTTAACTGCTGTTTGAAACAGCATGGCAAACCACTCAGTTCAACGGCAGTTAAGGATGAGCAACAAATGATGTCCTTGCCAATGACACCCGCATACCTAGAAAGCATAAGACAAACTCTGGCCTTTACATCCTTTTTAATCAGGAGTATCTTTCAGTTTACATAAATTATTTAAATGACCAAAACTTTTACAGTAAAAAATTATTCATATCGAATAAAGCTCATCACAGCATTGCAAATAATATAGCACTTCACTGTGTTTATCTGTAGAATAAATTCAGTTCTCTGATTCACAATTCTTTAAAAATTTGGCACTGAACCAGACAAATTCTTCTCCCAATTTGTGACTTTCACTCTGTTTGCTGATGTGGCTGATCAAGCAGCGAAGTGTTTGACTTACAATCTTCTGCCAGTTCTCCTTGTCCTCAAATTGGTCGATTTGAGTTGCCAGTTGTATCTGTCACCATCCTTCTAGGGATGGACTGTTGGCAGCGAATGCACTGAGCTCACATAAATGAAGTCATTCTAGCATATTGATGTGAACACTTCTTGAAATGTTTCAGTGAATTCCCATTGTTTCAAGTTGGTGTAGTATTCAGGAAGCATCATTTTGCATAGAAACTGATGAAACATTTTCAGCCAAATCTTTTCTGAGAAATATCTCTTTATAAGCCTCCTTATGTTCTCTTCATGACTTACTTTTTGATCTACCTTTGTGACATCAGCAAATTTAGGGACTGAAGATATGGTTGCTAACTTTGCTGATGACAAAGGTAGGAAAGTAAGTTATGAAGAGAACATGAGGAGGTTGCAAAAAGATGTAAATAAGTTAAAGTGAGTCAGCAAAGATCTGTAAATACAGTAGAATGTGGGAAAATTTAAAATTGTCCCATTTGAAGAATGCAAACGAAGCATAATATCTAAAAAGTGAACGATTGCAGAGCTGTGAGATGCAGAGGTTTCTGGATATCCTAGTCTATGAATCACAGAAAGTTAGTACTTACAAAGAACAGTACAGCACAGGCACAGACCTTTTGGCCCACCAAGCCTATGCCAACACATGACACCTTTCTAAGCCAAAAGCCTTTTACCTCTCTGTGGTCTGTATCTATTCTCTGCCCATTCATATATCTTTCAAGATGCCTCTTAAATACTGGTCTTGTATCTGCTTTGACCATCTTCTCTGGCTGTGCATTCAAGGCGCTTACACCCTCTGTGTGAAAACAAAAAACTTGCCTCTCACGTCCCTTTTGAACTTGTCCTCTTTTATCTTAAACCGATGTCCTCTAGTAATTGACATTTCTACCCTGGGAAAAAGACTCCGACTATCCATTCTACTCATGCCTCTCTCATACTTTTAAACATCATCTATCAGGTCGCCCCCTCAGCCTTGCTATGTTCAAGTGTAAACAAACCAAGTTTATCCAATCTCCCCTCATAGCTAATACCCTCCAAGACAGGCAACATCCTAGTAAACCGTTTTCGATACCCTCTCCATAGCCTCCACAACTTTCTGGTGGTGTGGCGACCAGAACTATACTCAATATTTCAAATGTGGCCTAACTGAAGTTCTATACAGCTGCAACATGACTTGCCAATTTTTACATTCTATGCCTTGACCAATGAAGGCAAGCATGCCATATGCCTTCTTGACCATCTTACCCACCTGTGATGCCACTTTCAGGGAACTGTGGACCTATACTTATTGACGAAGCAATAACCTAGTGGTATTATCGTTGGACTGTTAATCCAGTGACTCAGGTAACGTCCTGTAGACCTGGTTTCAAATCCCACCACGGCAGATGATGGAACTTGAATTCAATTAAAATCTGGAATTAAATGTCTACTGATGACCATAAATCCATTGCGATTGTTGGAAAAACCCATCTGGTTCACTAATGTCCTTTAGGGAAGGAAACTGCCATCCTTACCTGGTCTGGCCTACATGTGACTCCAGAGCCTCAGCGATGTAGTTGACTCTTAACTGCCCTCTGGGCAATTAGAGATGGGCAATAAATGCTGGCCTAGGCAGCAGCACCCTAATCCCGTGAATGAATTAATGAAGACCTTTTGTGTTGAGCGCCATAGCGTGTCCATGTGCTGTTTTGGCATCAGCAGCTTATTTACCAACATACCACACAAA